CAATTTTCATATCTCTCTCTCTCTCTCTCTCTCTCTCTCTCTCTCAGTACATATATATAATTATATATATAATTATATGCAATTATAGGTAAACATATTTCATAAATAGTTTTATATAATTATATATAACCATTTATATATAATTATACATAAAAAATTTTTACGATAATAAAAGAAATAATTAAATATATAGTCGTAAATTTGTGTCATCTTTTTATTTTATTAATTTTCTTAATTTTCTATAATTTTTAAAGAATTTTTTTTAAATTATCCCTTTTTTATTAATTTTAGTGCTTAATTAACTCTCATAATTATTTATTATGTTTATAGACTTAGATTTTGAAAAGAAAAAAGGAATGATTTTCTACGAAACTGAACATAAATACCGTAGATCTAATCGATTGGAAGTGTAAGCCAATACCAGGTTGTACACACGACGTGTCATAACTTGGATCCTATGATCCGCTTTTTTCTTTTTATTTTCTCTACTTATAAGGTGTTATTTATGCATATATAGTAGCAGAATTAGTGTAATTTTGACATTTATTATAGTGTAAAACAAACAAAATTTAGAACATTTATATTTAAATTATTTTTTGTAAATTATTTTTCTATCTTCTTTATATGTCCATACATATTTCTATATATAATATTTTTTATGAGAAATACAAAGTTTGAAACTTTTATATGACTTAATTTATATTAAGAAGATTTTTATAAACTATATTTTTTTTATTATTTATGTATGTGCATAAATTTAAACTAGCCAAAAATATACATTTAAAGCTCTTTTAATCATTAATTACTTTCTAATAATCACTAACTCTTTTAATCACGAATTACTAAAAATCCATTATTTTCTGAAGAAATCAAAAGAAAAAAAAATTAATTTTGTGTTATTCAAAAAGTTTTTCATCAAACGTATGGGATATTTTATGTGTATCGATAAATTTCGACTGAAAAACATGATCCTTGTCTCACCGGCACCCTCACGCTGATACGATGACACAACGTGACGATGATAGTGTGCCATGTTCGTGCGGTTGACTTCCTCTTCCTGTGTCCGCATGTCCAAACTACATAGTCAGATGTTCCGTCTACATTCGCCATTCGGTTGTCAGGATTATGTGTGGACAAGGAACGCGCTATTGTGTTCTATGTGTTTGTCGTTCAATAAACTTAAAACAAGGATAGAATGATGCAACAACATTGATAGCGCGCTATCCAAATGCTGTCAAGATAGTCGAATATTTGTAAGCTCATCAAGAAGAGTCAATGCACACAGGATGAAAATACAAATTAATAATAAATTTGAAATTGTTTACAATATATTTCAATTTACTTAAATTAATTTTTTCTATATTTTACGAGAATTATTAGGTGTTGGAATTAATTCGTAGCGTTTTACAATGAAAGAATGTTATTTATTTCACATGAGCATTAAAAAATACATTAATGATAATTAATAATGTAATAACAATAGAGTAATATATTAGAAAGGAGATGTTTATCTTAATTACGCTATGTATCTAAATCGAAGATTTATATTATCTTTAAATAATCCATGTTTTCAAAGCATGATGTAACATCAAATTGTTGTTAAAATAACAAATTCTTTATATAGGAAAATAACATAGGATCTCCGCATACTATCGAGTTCACTGTTGACTGGTCAATATCCACGAAAAGGAAGGCATTACAAGCCGGTGATCTCGAAAAGGGTATCGAAGAACAGGACCACCGTGATCGGTGCGTGGTTATAGTACCTGAAGAAAATATAATATCTTCCTTCCATTCAGTCAAACAAGATATATCACTGTATGTATATGATTGTAGTGCGAAAAAGACCAATCATCGATGGTATAAACGTATAGTATCGTCGTATTGTCGATATCAATATCATGTAGTATATCGTATAGTATCTCGTACTGTCGATATCGTATGATGCATATTGTTCGACAGCGGTAATGGTTTGATTAAATATGTATAATTAAAAATATTATTTGCTAGTTTGTGCTGAATATAAGTATAAACTTAATTTCAAAAAAGACTTCTTCTAAGACAATATAATATGTCAATGCGGATTCATTCTTATAAAAAAGGATCAAATAAAAATAGAAGAACGAAGGAAATCTTGTCATATCTGATATTTCATTATCCTTATTCTCTCATATGACATATTTTCTTTCTCTTTCCATTTTAATAATATTTCTGAAATAACATCTTTCATAAATATTTGCAACTTTTTTCAAATAAAAAATGATTTTTTTTAAGTAAAAGTTATGTAACGTTATCCTATCACTTTATAACTTTCACGCAACTTGGGATATGAGATCTAACGACGATATGTAGTACACAGTTTCAGTTAGTAGAAGAAGAAACGAGAAAGAAGAGAAAGGGAGAAAAAGACAGAGACAAAAGGAGGGAAAAAAGGGACAGAAAGCAGTGGAGTGGGGTTGGATGGTACGTACGTAGTCAGTGAGCCGCTTTAAGGGGTGAGAGAGTGGGTGGATAGGTGGTAGATCGCTAGTTAGCCAAGAGACATTGACATGCCAAACCGCCAGCATGACGGTGTCTCCAAAAATCGTGTGCCAAAAAGTTGCGTTAAAGTTTAATTGCTTAAAATTTAACCGCAAGTGCTTCTAAAACAATTTAAAGTGGAAGGTTTTCTATGAAATTGAAATATTATTAATTGTTATCAATTTAATCAAATAAATTTTCCTTTTTAAAAATAAATCAAATAAATTTTCCTATTAAAAATAATTTAATAATTCGATTCATCGGAAAACAATCAAACAATTATATTTAAAAATAATAGAAATAGTGAAGTGTGATAATATGTCACAAGATCATGTCCAGGATCTGATTAAAGCTGTGAAAAATGCGAGAGAAATTTAATTTTATGGAAGCGATTATTAATTAATATACAATAGTAAAAAAAATTTAATTAATAATCTATTGCATAATATAAAACATAATTAATTTGGTCTAATTAAAATTAAAATATGATCTAAAATATAAATATTTCAGTTTTTATTCTATATCTTAAATTTTGCAAGTGAATATCTCAATATGTGAAACATTTGCATAAAGAAGAAATAATTTACTAAAAGTGAAATGTTTTTAATTAAAAAACGTCAAATAATAAAACAATATGTTATACAATAAAAAAATGAAATAAATAGAAAAATGTGTGTGAAATACATAATATGTAACATACATGTTAAAGAAATTAAAACATTACAAAAATGAGAAAATTTGGAATTAAAGAAATTTGACTGATAAAATTAAAAAGATATAGTGAAAACTTTAATTGATATAAAAATTGTTTTTCCTATCAAATGTTATTATAATCGTCGAAGTGATATGTTTCATCATTCAATTTTTTGAAGGACTACATTAGAAGTAAAAACAAAAAATAATTTGATAATCAAAGAAAATGAAGATCCTGCCATTAGCTATAAAAATATAAAGATCCATGACAAAACTACCGAATCTACAAATCATATAAGAAAATGCAGACATTACGGATCTGTGAATGGGAATGTCCAACGACAGGTTTTCTGCAGAAACCTCTAACAGTGACTGGCAGGGCTTCCAAGCCATAAAGGTACGTCTATATGCGCGTGGCGAGCCGTACACGTGCATTTTCCTTCTTCATTCGGTCATTCATAAAAAGTCATTCATTGATTAATTCATCTGATCGATCTTCGCAGCCACACATTCCGGTCCAACAATAACAATATATTTATCATTGTATAAAATTCATTTGTACAAAGTAATTCTTAAGCAAGTCTAAAAAAAACCTTATGGGGATATTCTTTGATTTATTTCATGAAGAAATGATCCTTTGAACATATGTCTTAAAGTGCTTTGTTTTCAAATGTTTTTGTTGCAATACGAACGCCTCTAATGGATCTAAAAATGTTCCATTTGTACTGGAAAATGATTTTTAATATCACATATAAACGTACCAAATTTGAATTTAATTAAAATATAATCGTTTGCTAAATTTTTAAAATTTTTATATTTCTTTTCGCAACTTTGACACTCTGTTTTTTGAAAATAAAGTACTGTAGGACATACAGTGTAGTCATGAAGATGGAATGAACTATATAAAAATTAATGATATAGTTATTTTATTGGTCTGCCTTCACTTAGTGGTAATGTTATTTATTACACAGTAGCAACAATTCATATCAAGTAAAAAACAACGAACTATTGCCGAAATAAGATGCATGTTGTGAAAATCTTAAAGTGCCTTGTGTTGTGAGAATTTTAAAGTGTTTTGTGCTGTAAAAAGAAATTTATTAAACCATTAATGTGATTTAAATTAGGTATAATTATGGTTTATATAAGGATTTATAGATTTTTGAATTTTTACTGAAAAATTATGATTCATCATAACTTTGAATAATTCATTCATGTAATTTCTTTTCTACGTAATACTTCATTTCAAATACTAAATAAAAAAGCACTATATCAGTCAAATTGAAGACAATGAAAAGTATTACTGGTTAAAAACATGTATAATTTGAGGATCAATTCGAGGTATAATTTTTCCCTAGAATCGCGAGTTTCTTTATTATTTCTCTATTATTTCTTAATACATTTTCACTATTTTTCAGAATAACTAATAATTTTTTTTAATTTCTTGTTGCGATTTTCCTTCATTGCATAAAATTAAGATTTTTATTCTCTCAACTTTACAGTGAACATTTCGCCTTATTAATTTTAAATGACTGACTAAATTTCATTATAATTTTATTGTACCTAATTTATAAAATCACTTAATACTTAACAACCTTTCATTAATAAACTTACATAATAATAATTCGACTTTATTATTATGACTAAACTATTTATATCACAGCATTTTAGGATTCTCGCAATACAACATAAATATTTCAGCAATAACTCGTTATGTTTTTAGTTGATATGAATTGCTAATGTAAATAATAAATAACATTACAGGCAAGTAAAGATAGATAAGTAAAATAACTATCTTATTAATTTATATATGAGTGAGTCAAATTTCGTGATCATCACTATATGTTCATAAGACCTTTTCTTCATAAAAGAGAGAGCCAAAGAATATGTTCTTAATTTCTTTACACTTACTTAGGCATCATCCTATGTATATAATATAAAAATATTATTCAATAAGATAAAGAAAGATTAGAAAATTAAAAACAATATTATCTTATATACAATAGAAATAAAAAATTGTTTTCATTGAAATTAAAACACAAGAACATATGTCAATCGCATGTTTTTGATATTCAGCGCTGAAATAGAATGTCCAATTTTCTTTATTTAATTTTTATTAATATTAAAGGAATTAATGATATTAAAGAGAAAAAATGTAAAACGTAATATTTTACTGTCTAAAAAAAAAAAATTTTCTTTATAAAAATCAAAACATATATATAATTTGCTCTGTTACTGCATTTTCTGCAAAATTTACACTCATTATTTTTTTATCTTTGATAAGATTCTTGCAAAAAGTGTTATTCTGAATATATAATTAAATTATAAAGTTCAAAAATAATTCTCATAAATTTCTTTCACTCAAAAATGAGAATTGAAACAAGAAAATTATATTTTTTCTTTTCCTTATTTCCTTTCTAAATTTATTTCCTTTTAAAACATATATAATTTTAATTGTTAAATTGATCCATGGTTCCTTTTCTTATTATAAGAAAACTGATAAAATTAACACTTTCAGTCAAGAAATATCCTCATATCACTAATCGGTCATTCTCTTGTTATACAATAAAAAACAGTAAATGCTTCAACTTTCTACAAATATTTAATTTATTTTTAATTTAACATTTTTGAAACAATTTAAAGATTATAAAAGCGTTATTATTTTGATCTTACCTTTTCGTACAATTTGCACTTTTTTTAATTTTTCCATCCATGTATTTAATAATCCTCTCCTAATGATTTCACAATAACAAAATAAATATTCCTCTACTTAACAAAAAAGTCAAAGTATCTTATTTTTCCATAGAAAATGCATAATTTCAACTATTTCGCTCTATGAATTCATTCATTTCGTAATACGCTTGAAATAAAATTTATTTTGCATGTAACGAAACAATAATATTTTAACTTTCACATCTACTATTTTGTATCGTAAAAAATAGCATCGATGGCGAGCGGCGGCTTGCGCTGAAGCTGCGCGCCGTTACCGGGACGACCAGAGAGGGCTGGACCAGCACTATAGCGCGTTTCCATAGGGAGAGGAAACGAGGGTTGCAAAGAGGAGGTGTGGGTAAACGCAGTGGTGTGCATCCGGGGGATAGGCCATCGTCGAGAATTTCACAGAGATGGAGTTTCTGCAGAATCATCACGCGGTTAACACCTCCGAGCCGCCGTATACCCTCGGCACAGGTGAGACCTGAAAATTCTCTGTACCTCATGGCAAACACAAAGACAATCACGATAAGCACGAAAATGATCGCAAAGATAAAAACGAAAACGCGGGTGATAGTTGTACAGTGCGAAATTTTCTGGATATATAATTTTTCTCAATCAATAATAGTTCTAAAAATGTGAACAATGATTATCTATTTATTGCGTTTTTGACAAATTTAAAAAAAAAACATTTCAGTTCAATTTTATAAGAATAATTCACTCCCAGAATTTTCTTATAAATGTTTCCTAAATTAAATATTACGTGTTAAAGTGACTTCTACAAAAACATGTGACAATTTCTACAAAATACTTATAATTTTTAAACTGTAAGAAATTCGTGTAAAATTAAACAGCTAATTTGTTGTGTAGTATTATTACTATACATTTTTATAACAGTTTTTAATTAATAATTATTTCATTAATAATATCTATATACTAAAAAAAATATCGCGAGTGTGGCGTATAAGACAGTTGCCAATATCAAATTATATATATCCGATTAATTTTTATAAACTTTAATGTACACAAATCGTCATAAGCGCATGAAATTCGCTTATTTAAGTTAAATTATAGCAAAGGCACATGTAAGTTCCCTCTCAAAACATTGTATACATGTCTTTTTATAATTTGTTTTGACAATTATTGAAAAAATCGTGGTTTTTAATGGAATAATACTTCTAAACATTTATCGGAATCTTTAGTCTTTGTAAAATTTCCGTTTTTAGTAGATAAAATCACCCAAGAATGCGCATTGAGCTTTACGACGAAACTATTAAATTATAAGAGCTGTAATTTATACAGAATATGTCTTTTTAGTTTGCCAATCTGTATATAAAAGATCGTTACAGCAATAAAAAAGTTTTAAATTTTGACAATTCTTTTCTATATTTTTCGTGGATAAATTAATCAATTTCTACATCAAACTATTGCTTTGTGAATCTGTACTATTTATATTGTGTGCATGCATGTCTCTGTTTCATATTTCATGATACATTTACTTAATATCTATAATAATTTTATAGTTATTAAAAGTAAAAAATGACACGATGACTCAAGAGTTCGCATTTGAGAACAGTTCGAAAGTTTACACATGAGCAGCACTAGCAGACACCGATCATGAGTAACATTTTGTAACGTTCTGTATTCAAATTCTAAATTCGGTGAAAATTGGATCCAGTGACAGAGCTCTACGCCCATGTCGATTGCATCGAGATCGACCGACAATTGAAAGCTTATTTGTGTGAACTCTGTATGTAAAAATACACTCAAGTACTTATAAATATATTTGTTTAATAAAAAATAAATGCTATTTTTACTTTAATTAATATTACTTTTCTAATAAGCCACATTTTTTTCATAGTGCGAACTCTTGAGAAGAAATTTGCTCAAGGGTTCGCATTTTTCCCTTCTTAGTAGAATTAATCTCTTGTAAAAGAGAGCAAATGATAGTATTAAATTGATACTTGACAAATTTTTAGTTTAAAATGTAAGGAATAATTTAAGTATCACTTTACTGTACAAACTTGAGTCCTTGTATAAGTTATACAGCCTCAAAGAAAAAGTGCGCATTCTTGAGCGGTCTCATCCAATATCAAACTCGTTAATTTATTAAGGCGGAAGATTTGAATAACAACTGTGAACGATATTTAATCAGCATAGAATTATTATTTAAAATTTTTAATATAGGTATACTAGCTCAAGCAGAACAACAAATCATTATAATATCAAAATAACGTCAAAATGATTTCAAAATGATCATTAAAAGCCATTTTTCAATTTCATCATCTCCGATTCATTTTAATATCATTTTGACGTTATCGCGATTTATTGTTCTGTTTAGGATAATTATTTCGAATTTTTTTCTACAAGAACCATACATCCTCTCATAAACAATATATATATACACACACACACACACACACACACACACACACACACACACATGTTTTTTTATAATTACTAGTTTTGTTAATTACTGAAAAAAACCAGTTTTTCGTAATACTTCTGAATATTTACTTTATAATTTCTTTAATACTTCGAATATATTAAATCAAGAAAAAATCATTCTACAAGTACTTTTGACAATTCAATACATATCCTGAATCTTTAGGTTCTGTGGATAGCATCGAGGCAACTATCTCATCTAGCTTCTGTTCTGGATCACTAGGGGTGCTTTCGTGGCGCTGCTCTGCAGGGCACGCTGCGCTTGCAGGACCTGCAGAGTTCGCCAACTAATATCAGTGTTGACCAGAGCCAACAATTTCCAACTTCTAGTCAGGTCGTGAGCGAATTCGGTGGTAGCTTTTGGGTTGACGACATGGCAGGTTTTTCTCTACCCCCGTTGGACCTGGACCCTTTGCCTCCAGGATTGTTTAGTCCATGCTCAGGAACGTACAAGTTGGTTATCAATTTTATTTTTCTCTTTTTTTTTCTCTTCATCTGTCTCTTTCTTTTTATTATATTTAGTTATGTTTTTTTTATTATTTAAATATTACCAAAATTTACCTAATGCTTGAAATGATACTTGGAAATCTGTGGATTTATATTTAATTCTATTTAATTAATATGTTAACAATTTTTTAATTTTTATCTAAATTAATTTAAAAAAAATAGAATTTGTTAATAAACATCTTTAAGATATATATATTTTATAAAAAAAACTCTGAAATATCTTAAAGTTGTCTTATGCGTTTATTTTATCTGCTTATTCGAAAATCTTTAGAAATTAATATCTCGTTAATTATTGCAAAATGATAGAAGATTTTTCGACCCAAAGTTCAGTCTGCTCTACCTGCTTAAAAGCGGTGTATCAAAAAGTTTGGAACACTCTAAACACATACACACATAATTTAAATCAATTAAATAAAGAAGCATCAAATATAGAGCTTACAATTAGTGTCCAATAATATTTCTATGTGAATTTTTAAATACATTTTCAAGTACTTTAAACTACGCGCCGAACACAATCATCTAACATATAATTTAATTTTTGTTTATTCTACATTATGTTTTTATTGATTTATAAATTCGACAATTCGATAGAATCTGTAAAATTCAAGATTTCTTTTAGCTGGGGCTGCTCACGTAGTGAATGCGTGCCAAGGACGAACAATGGTGCGAATGGCGAGGGCGTTGCCGATGTTCTTTTATCCCTGAAGCATGCGGTAGTACATCCCGCAAGTCCGACGGCTGGCTATTATACCACTGGCGCCGGTTCCGCCGCAGCTCATCATTACTCGCAGGACTATGTGCAAAATTTAGGCCCGTCGGTTCCAGGTCCAGGTCACTACGGTTCTGCATCCGCTGCCATGTCTGTCAATGTGTCGATGAACATGACTATGAACATGAATATGCATTCTGGGTAAGAATTCTTCAATTTCCTTTTTCTTCGTCCTTTTTCTAAATGTCTTTCAACATTTTTATATAATTAATATTTTTAAAAGATCAACTTGAAAATATTTACTTACTAATATATTTATTATCACTGATTTTATTTTAATTATTCTAATTAGAGAAAAAGATGGTATTATGGCTCTTATAGGTATACATGGCGCCCTTCTTAATGTCTCCGCTATCAGATAGAGAGATAATAGTATTCTGAATAATTATTTATGAAATTATTTGTTCAGTACGCCACCGTTACACTGTATATGGCACTAATATGCCAATATACAATAATCGGCATTTATTCTAACGCATGTTTACTTTTAAGAATTTCGAAACATTTTCGAAGTATATTTTTTAGTTATACTTCCTCATTCTTTTTTTTTATAATATTTAATTATATAATATTATTTAATTTGAGCATATCTATTATCACACGACATATACACTCCAATAACTGAGTATATTCTTCATTACTTAACATTTTATTTAGCTGTACACATTTCGAGTTATGCACAGTTAAACAAAAGTATAGCATTTTATTAATGTAGTAAATAGCTAACTGCTGACGGCCTCTTATTCGAGGTTTTCATATAAAAATAATTCGATAAGTCGATTGTAGTTATACCGTTAATTGTAGTTGGACATTATATGCATTATCTGTACATTTCTAGTTGTAAGACCTATACGTGAAATAAATTATGATATCTATATATGTATGTATGATATCTGTATCTGTATTTCTATATGTGTGTTTTGTAGCTACGAACAAAGTTATTCGTCAGCGTGGGGCGTGGAACCTCTTCTAAGTCCCGCCCCTCAGTACAGCAATCCGGTGGAGGTGGCGGCGCAAACGACGGCGAGGGTGAATCAAGGCGCGCCGACCAATAGCGGTCTGATCGGTCATCCCCATTCCCACCCCCAGTCACATCACAGTGGTGGCCGAGTACAACTCGGGAGTGAACACACAATTTGTGTAAATACCACAGGTCCAGCCGCGGGCGGCATCACCCTCGAAGATAATGGCAGACCCAATCTGTGCAGAATTTGCGGCAAATCATATGCCAGACCTAGTACTCTCAAAACTCACCTGCGCACCCATTCTGGAGAGAAGCCATTCAGGTCGGTACCTCCATACGTCGTTGATGAGAAAAATACAGAGAATTTGCTAAATTTAAAAGAAAGAAAAGAAAGATCAAAGAAATAAAATTTATTTTATCCCATTTTATCTTGCTCTCTTTTATTTTATCTTTCTTTTTTAAAATAAAACTATTTTAGTGAGAATATAATAATAGAATTGTACTAAAGAATATTATATATTTTCTTTTTATTTTGATATATCTAGTTTAACCTCTTCAAACTCTATGAATATTATAATGTACATCAAATTTCAAGATATTATCCATTGAAATTATTTAATTCTATCAACTGAGATCTGATTATATAATGATGTCTATGTTGGAAAAATAGTTAAAATTAAAAAAAAATTAATATTTAAAATGTGCATGAATTAAATTAAAATTTTTTTTATATAATTCTAATAAAATCAGATCTGAAGAAGTTAAGAGACAAGATGTATATGAAAATAATCAAAGTATTAAATTTATTTTTATTTAAAAACGTACATTATTTCTTACAGTTTAAATTATACAAAATAATTTCTGGACATGCTATGTATCTAAAAAAGGAGATTGAATGTACTACAGTCCTCTTGTATGGATCAAAACATACAATACATCTACGATCACACAAGTGTCGAATGAAAATTTATATTTTAATAGTAATTGTTGTAGCAATTACTATTAAATTTTATTATTTTTATTATTACCATTCATTATTTATAATTTCAGTATTTTTCCTAATATATACAAAAAATTATACTAAAACAAAAAAACTTAAAAAACTGTCTATTCTATAAATAAGTATCTATAAATTAATTATAAGTTACTATAATTATAAAATATCAATAAAAATGATAAAAAATTTATACAAGTAATGAAAAATTTAATAAATGTCTTGAAATAAACGACTAAAAATCAAAATAATACATACGTTAACTGTTAAATAATACTTTAAAATGTTTCACTTCTCGAAATAAATTCTGTAATTTTTAATATAATATTCTACATGATAAGTATCAAATTCTTCATTTATAATCTTTATTTGAAATAAACAAAAAATCAAAAGAAGAATAATTACAAGAAAAATGACGTTAAATACTAGAGAAAGGTCGCCGATTCCGACACTCCATTTTAAATAATATTTTTTAAACAAAAACTAAAAATAAAACTTCAGAAACACAAATACAAACTAGAAGGGTTTTGTCTATCAAATAAGAACAGTTTTTATAATACTGTTTGTAGAGATGCTAAAAGGTTTGTCGGGTTATCCTGATCCATTGCTAATGCCAATGTTTTTCGTGAATCTTGTTGTTCGTTTCATTTCTTTTTCTCTCTCAGGGCGAGAAGTGCATCTCCATATCAGTGCGCTCCTTACCCTGATGAAGTGAATGGCAAGATTCACTTTCTTTTCTGTTTTAATTTTAAATCAGATTTTCTATTGAATTTTAATCGATTTTTGTTAAAATTTTGTTAAAAATTTACATTAAGATTTTAAAGAAATTAATTATTTATTTTTATTTTTGATGAGAAAACTTAATTTAAATTATAATAAAATTATAATTTGTGATTAATAAATTTATTATTTAGTACACCTAATTATAGCTCGTTTAATGTATACCTAGATTTTACTATTTATTAATTTGTTTTGTAAGTTATACGAGCAAAAAGAATTGATATTATTTATATTGTAATATTAATTTTGTTAATAACAATATTTGTTTTTTAAAAAGGTGTCACGCGTGCTCGAAGGCATTTAGTCAAGCGGCGAACCTAACCGCGCACGCGAGAACGCATTCTGGTGAAAAACCTTTCCGATGTCCAGTGTGTGATAGGAGATTTTCACAAAGCAGTTCAGTAACCACGCATATGAGGACGCACTCAGGTGAACGGCCCTACAGGTTTGTATTTGAATTTTTTCTTCAGTCAACTAAAAGAAAATCGATATAAATCCTTGAATGTCATTTGAATAAGAGTATTTACTTAAATTATTTGTTTATAAATGTTAGTTGACAAATAGCAAATGACTGCAGTTAAATTAATAACTGCAATTAATCAATAATTGTTTGCAGTATAGTATTTTGTACAATGCCAATTATACATATTACAATTATTAGAGTCCCTCATATTTACTTTTGAAGAAAAATTTTTTTTTAATTCTTAACGCGCGGTACTCCTCAGAATGATTTTCAAAAAAATAATTCCTGCCAAATTTTAGCTTGATCAAACAACAGGAATTTTTTAAGAAATGTTTAACCGTCGATGCTGACAGTTAAATATTTCCTTACATTACACTATCAATATTGATTTTTAAAACGTATTTTCCACAAAAATCAGCTCAGAGAATTTTCTTTCTTTTAATATGTACCTATCTTTTTCTTTTCTGCATTGTTTGAGATATCTCATTTAAATAATTAGATGAATTATTAATGATTAAAAAACAAACATAAATAGTATATTGCATTTTTTATTATTCAAGCTTGAAGAATTGATCTATAGATCTATTTTTTATTATTAATAATATGTTTGGGGAATAAAATGAGTTTAAAATATAATGAACTTTATATTTTTATTAATAAAGCGATTTACATTTAACACCTTACGTAATAATTAATAATTATATTATATCCTAATTGTTAGTCACCATCTTGCATAATCTCACAAATCACTAAAAAAAAATCCCTGAAACTTTGATTTAATTCATTAATGGGAAATCATGTCCATGGCTGTTTTAAATTTTTATATAAATCATGACTTTAAAATCCCCTAAAGAGATGCTAGAATGATTAAATTATCGATCGATAGAGTTCTATAAAAATCTCCGAATTGACTCAACAAAATGAAAATTCTTTTATAGGAAAGTAGACGCAAAATTGTGAGAGGTAATGCAGTGGACTTTATATTACAATCGAAAAAAAAAATTAAAAACTTACTTATTTTTCGTAGAGCTGTCACCTTACTGTCGTAGATATTTTTTTAATACAAAAATTTTATATCTCTGCTCTATATGGACAAAACGGCAGTGCACCATCCGCTGAATTACGTGAACAATGATTATTAATAGGAAAAATCAATACTCTGAAAAGCGATCGATTATTTTAAACAAAAATATTCATATATACATGTATCTTATTTCATAAATGTGCTTATTTGAACGTTGTTTGTTACTTAATATTTTATTTGGCCGTATAATATTTTGAGTTATGCAAAGTTAAATAGCATGGCATTTCTAAATTCTAAAAATAATAAATATTTTGTAATTAGTGTAAAATCAATTTAACATTTTTAATAAATATAATAATTAAGTTTTAAATACTGATTATTAACCAAACTATTGTATAAAATGTAAATAGAGAGCCATAATATACACATACCACACTACGCCACGCCATGCCACACCACACTATATCACATCATTTTCTCCTCTATATATATACACATAGGATCTCGAAAGTTATTTTATAAAATAATTAATTAATTACCAGTTACAGTTCTTTTCTCTCAAAAATAATTACCTACCTAAAATTATGGGATCAATATTAAAACGCGCTCATATATAGAGATCTCCAGATAATTCTTAATATACATATTTACAAATGATATAAGAGTTATCAGGAATGTATTCCAATCAAAAGAAATAATTATTGATTGTTTACTGAGCACTTTATTTTGCTGAATGCAATTCATATGTTGATAAATAATTTCGAAATAAAGTAACTTATAAAAGATACTATTAATTATCAATAAATAACATCTAAAGCTGTCAAATCATAACATTTGCTTGATATAAAAGCTTTGCAAACTCACAAAGTTTGAAATTTCAGACAAGTATATTATATGAAAAAAACAATGACAAGTTTTTAGATACCTAAATCGATACAAAAAGTATATTTGAGAATATATGTATATTTACGAGAAAAAATCATTATTTTCTTCTCATAAAGGTCTGAGAATTTTTTCAGAATTTTTTCAGAATTTTTTAATACCGTATTTTCTCATGTTAGTAAAAAAAAAAGAAAATGCAATACTAAAAAGTTGATAAAAAATTCTGAAAAAATTCTTAGAACTTTATGAGAAGAAAATAAATGATTTTTGTCTTTTGCAACTTTTCTATAAAGTTGATAGTATTTGAGTAAAAAATTATTCAAGACCAATATTTGGCAATTTTTAATAATTAATATTTTATTAACTATTGCGAAAATTGCAAAATGGTAATGGATTTTTCGACTCAGTTTAGTTCTCTCTACCTGTCCATGAAATATTTGGCAATTATTTCCAGACACCCTATATATGTAAATCGCATTCAATCGATAAAATAGATAATCCCGTCGAAATTTAGTTCTTCACTTTAGAACTTCCTTAAATTTATTTAGAATTACTAATTTTTATTTCAATATTCTTTATTTTTCTAGGTGTCGATTCTGCAAGAAAGCATTCTCTGACAGCTCGACACTTACCAAGCATCTGCGTATACACTCCGGTGAGAAACCATATCAGTGTAAACTGTGTCTGCTTAGATTCAGTCAAAGTGGTAATCTCAATAGGCACATGAGAGTCCATGGCGGTTCCCTGACGTGACACAATCCTTCTGTACCAGTACAATCTGCGATGACGATAATTGACGACAGTAGTGCTGCACATTCATTGTCCAGATGCTGTCGAATACCTGTGATTCGATTAGGAACAAACTCGCCGGAAAAGTAAAACGCAGAAGCAACCTCCAATATATATTATTTAGTCGATATCGGTTTAATTTATTAATTTAATACATATTTAAAAAACAACCTAAATAAAAAAATTGTTGCGAATAAACATGAGTAATTTTCTTGCACATGATAGAGAGGATCTCTATGATAGAAAAAAATTTGTAAACTCACAAACAGTAAATTATATATTCCTATTATAGCAAAAATCAATGTAAAATTTTATAATTATTTTGTAATTAAATTGTAGCAAAAATATATTAGGTGTTGGAATTAATTCGTAGCGTTTTTTAATGAAAGAATGTTATTTATTTCACATGAGCATTAAAAAATACATTAATGAAAGTACTTCCCATCACTTGTAAAACGATACGAATTAATTCCAACACCTAATAATTCAAATTATATTATAAATTATGCCAAGAGAAAGGATATGTTTTTGTAATCATAGAAAATTATATCACCTCCAAAATATTAAGTAATGATATTCAATAAAAAAAATTCTCTAATGGGTAACTATACCAAAAGCATCAAATATTAAATAATATCATGCATTGATGATATATTTACTATTTTTAATATTATCAATTTGTAACAAAGATATGTTTTACCTACAGTATATATTTTGGAATTTTATTTAGTTTTACTCTTATATCCATTACGAGGTGTGATTTAAAAGTAAGGGCTAATCGGTCTAAAATATGTAAATTATTATAAATTGCATAATATAATACAGAAAAAAGTAATTAAGTGTTTCATGACTGTTAATATATCTGATTTTAATGTTAATAAATAAAAATATATAAGTGAGACAAAAGCTTTAATGTTGTCTAATGCAAGTTGAAAATAGCTGAATTGGCTGAATTCAAACAACAGATTTCTCGAAGCAAAAATATAAGAAAAGCTGATGCACAAAATGTTTAGAAAAAAAGTGTTTAGTGTTTAGAAAAAAAATCATTGACTACGTAAAAAAGGGGCAATGTAATTCTTACGATTAATAAAATATTTCTATTCAACTGATTTTTTCTAATGATCGTTCGGCCTTTAGCTTTAAAACGCATCTTGTATAAACAATATTTAAAAAGGACATATCTCTCAGTTATAAATGTTTTTTTTTCTTTTTATAAAGATTATTTTTCAGTTGCGTCATAAATGTAATAAATTTTACAAAATACGATGGAAATATCAAACAAGTTCATAAATCAAGCAGTGATATCCTTTTATGATTAGCAAAGAATTGCTTCTGATCACAAAATTGAATGTGCTTTAATATACTATGTTTTGTACGTATATCAATCAGGTTGGGATGTATACAAATTGGGATAAATAAAGAAATTCGAATGTGCGACATATCTAATATAACATACCGCAAAGCAAAACTGCGTTAACATTATTGTACAAATATTGTATTTATTATAATTATTATTAATTATAATAATAATGTTGCTCGTTTATCTCGACATCATCTTCTCAATTAATTATTCTATCGTCATCGAGTGTGTTGAATGACTCTTCTTATTTTTTGTTGTAATTCGCTTCTCTTTTGTTTATATTTCACTCTTTTTAGTTATTTATAATCGTAATGAATGAATGAAAATGCGTAATTTTGGTGCTGTCAATTTTCTCTCGTCGAGAAAAGAAAAATAAAATGAAATAAAATGAAAAAAAAAACGAATATTACAGAATAATCTTCTACCTATACATATATTCGCATAAGAAAAACTCATTAATTAAAAAAATTATTATCAATTAAAAGCAATCTATCTTATTATTTTTTTCGTTCGCTCGCTTATTAGTAGCTTCATAATATCAAGGATTTTTTTTTCGCTTTTCTTTTTTTTAAGAAAAGAAATATTCGAATAATCCTTTTTTGCGTGTCAATTCGAAATTATCTTTTCGCAATTAAAATTATATATGTATAAATGAAAACATGTCTCTCCGTAGGTTCTTCTTCTCAAGTAGAATAGTTCTATTTCCTCGCTTTCTCGTCCCTCATTCTTTCTTTCTTTCTCGCTCGCTCATACATACACAGACACACACGCACACACGCCGCA